CTTGCTAATTATTTTACATATGAGAATATGAGAAGGAACCATAATCTATAAACAAACATATTCCCAGTAAAAATGCTTAGGAAAAATTTAAAACTTTGACTACCAAACAATTGTTAAATGTTTAGTATGACGAGATAGGTTTCTTATCAATGATACAAATTAGCTTATTTTTTTAAACCAATTCTACCAAAAATACGTTTCCGATTATCAGTTTACCTGTAAAAATACGTTCGTACGTGGTCGAACGAAAGAAAGAAAAAATGCTCACATAACAAAACATACAATAAAAGATAGTGATTGGATTTCTATTGCTTCTTTCTTCGTTAAATTGCCATTCAGTTCGTGCGCTGCACTAAACTAACTGCGGACTTGGCCAGTTTTGCTGCATAACCTACAAACTTGCGAAGTAGCTTCAAAAACAAGTAATAGGGAAGAACCAGCAACGAGAAGATCGTTCATGGGAATATAATTAATTTAACGTGTAAAACAATTAGTTAAAAACTATAAATGTACCATTTTGGATAGACTGGCAGCTAACCCTTTAGTTGCAGCAAAAATTAGATTATAGCAATTCTTAAATCGAGTAATCTATTCCCTCGTTCTTCAAATTCCGCACTACATTCCGATCTGACCCGATTTTGGCGTTCGTATTTCCTTTATAACTAATATAAACGAGCACGCCTCACAGGGTGCCGTACCCCTGGCGTAATATAAATATTAAATAACGCTGCGACGTAAGAAATTTATATAACACCAAAACAAGAAACGGCAAAACGTACAACTCGTAATATCACCCACAGGAAACGGCTTGCCCGCGTTATAGAGCATTAAATCATAGCGCTAAACATACATTATGTATACGCGATTACGTATGCTCAGTGGGTATGAGCAATCTGAATTATTTAAAGGGAATAAATCTATCAATTTCGTATTTTGTAAATGATACATCAGTAGAAATAAAAAATCAACCACGTGGTAAAATAATATAGGATTGTCTCACAATAAATTTATCAACTTAAATTTAATATTAAATGTAAAATATCACTGATCTTTTCATCAACATTTCAAAATACTAATACTTTTTTGGCGCTGCATAACTTGTTTAGAAATAAAAATATTTTGGTAGCAGCGGTATTATACTTCCGCTGCCACCAAATATTTTGTTCGCAAATTTTTGTTTGCTTGAGAGAACGGCGTTTTGAGGAAAATTGCCATCAGCAAAAAGAACAAGTTAGTGGTAAACATTAGTTAATCGCTTTTACCAAAAGTAAACGTTATCAGTAAGCAGACTATATAATCGTAAAAAATCAGGAATCAATAATTTTATCAATTATCTAATCGAGAATTCAACCAAGTATCAAATTAAGAATCTCTTTATACAGAATCCTAATCAAAACCAAGAACCAGGAAAAATTCAAGTGTTTCAGTATTCGACATTAGTTTAGTATATATTGAACAATATTTTTTAAAAAATTGATCAATTATATTGAACAATCCGTTATAACTAGTATAAATTAAAATCGACTTACGTTCCCAGGGGCATCCATATATCTCCACTCGCATGCAGACAGTACGTGGATGTTCACTGTAAGGTATAAAACGAACTCTGCTCGCCACAAAAGGTAATTCTAATTCTTGACGAACTACCAAATATGTGTTACTGTTCCCCGTTAACACCTGAAAAAATATAAAACATATTACATAAAGTTCTGTAAGAAAATCTGAAAAAAGTATCGATTATTCACATTGAGGACAAAAAAATTGACACTGTTGTTTTCATTTGATAGACAATGTTTTTTAGATTGTAGGTCTCGTTGGTTTCTCGATGGCTTTTGAGTATTATATCAATTTTAATGAATTATTTTTAGCGCATAAGTTTCTACACAATATGCTTTATAATTTATATTAACTGATTAAACCTCTTTGTAATAATTCATAATAATAACTCCTAACTTTCCCTCTATATTCTACAATATTTCTTTTCGGTGCATTATCATTACAATACAATTAGGGAGAAACGCGCAAGTTTTATTATAGCTCGAAATCCGATTCGTTTAAAGTTTTAGCACGAGACAATGCGATGAAAATTATAATAAGTTTTCGAAAATGGACGCGATAAAATCAGAACAATTACTACGAGACCAAGTTGTACGAACTATGCCGTAGTCATATCTAAAATAACGGCTGAGTAAACTCTCAAGGAGTAATGGAAGGAACAGCGCCGCCGCCCGGAGATCAAAGGTCCACGTCCGCGGTGGAAACGCGCGAGATTCAAACACAATGAATTGTTAGATAGCTGAAATTAGTACGAGCCGTGTTTTCAATAGAAGTTTAAATATGTGCGCAGTCAATGCAGCAGCCAAGCCATATCAATAGAGAAATTAATGCGAACCAGATTTGATCTCCAACATATTCGTATTATTATTATAAAGTGCTCTTGTACAAATAGAAAGCGGTGATGTGTCGTACTGATAAGACTGATGGCTGTTTTGAATCTGTTCCGAGATTCAATACTTTGCTATTGTGGAGAGAAATATGATGAATGGCGGAGCTAATGTATTTCGAAATGGAATTTAGAAATTTTCGAATGCGAAAGTTATTCTTAACAAAATAGAAGTGGCATTTGGTATAACAGCATCTAAACAATGCTAAATATATTTGAAAACATTAGAACCAAGCTCTTATTGCAGCTAGATTGATTTTTCCTAAACATTTGAATAGCTTCCAGAAAATAAACAATTACATTTTTTTTCATGATGTCAATCATTTTCTGATGAAATCAAAAATTTCCATTCCCTACAAAGCAAAAACGTATCATTGCAAGTCTTTGTACTTGCACATAGTCCTGTTTCCGTATCATGGGCACAGGACTCATCAAATCTAGGCGAACGCTGATCATATCAGCGAGCGAACCGTCAGTCCCAGATCAACTGCGGTCAGAACGTTTGATATGGGCACTGAAGTTCCCACACCACAGATATTTGCAGATAACCTATTATATGGGTCGAGCAATAAGCCAATGTTTGGCAAACTTGCCACGAATAGGCTCTTGTATCAGGAATCAGAAATCAGTTATTAATTTTTTGCCCTTAGTGGTAATATTAGAATATCGTAAAAGTGAATTTTGTTATACTTTGGTGACTAAAAACATGAAATTTACTTTGGCTATATTCTAGATTTGTGAACGAAAAATAATATCTGATTTCTCATGCGATAGTCCACTATTGCAACTTGTTTCCACTATTACAGCGCATGATCCTGTACCTGTGTGCCCCCAGTGCCCCTTTCACTTGTATTTTGAAATGAAAAGATTTATACTTGCTTAAATGATACGTGTTAAATAGAGTGTCCGGAGCTTGGTGCCGACCGGAGCTACGGGACTTTTCCCTATATATGTAATTAGTATTATATACAAACATTATAGCTATTTATCGTTGTGTTACATATTGATCGAAAAAAAATCAATAAATTTATATCAATATTTTTTTCTCAAATAAAATGCACAATTATATTTGTTGTTTATATAAATATATTTTTTATCATTTATCTATTTTTCTGGAATCGCGTATATTCGGTAAAACAAGTTCTAATGTATTTTAAAAATCGTAGAGCAAACAATAAATATTTTTCTGGAATTTAATTAGTCCCAAGAAAAAATAACAACGTATATGAGATGCTCTGTTATTTTTGTTACGTCTGGAGACTAAGAAATTTAGTCTAGCGAAAAAATAACATGCAGACGGTCTGCTGGAAGTAATAAAATTAGAGTTGGATTTGTTAACATTATGACAATAAGAAATATTTGGAAAAAGTATAACGATATGAATTTTAATTAATTTTGTATAAAAATATCTTTTCATTATTTATTTTGTCTTGGTGAAATTTTCCTGAATCCATTTTTGTATGTCACACTCAATATTGTTTTTTTATTGATATATCTATTTTTATCTCTGAATTTTGATGTACCTATAGATACTCTTGAATAAAAATATTTATAATTTTTAAATTTTTATTTTTTGAATTTATTAAAAAATCTGATTTGCACTAAACTAGGAAAGTTTTCCAAGCTGTGAATCTTGACATTATCTTCAACTTGGCTATATATGATAGTGGGTTTATATACCATTTGCTTAGGTCACTGGGCTAATCTGTGTGTGGTGATCGTGGGTTTAAAATATTCCGAATGATTGATGCCTTACAACTTACTGACAGATACAGAATATAATCTGATGAGGGATGCCGCAAAACGTGCAACCGAATACAGAATATCTGATTTTGGTTTTAAACCACTTATATGTATTGTTATCAGATTGGAGGAAAATGTATAATATGAATATACATTGATCAAATGAAAATTTATAATTTAAAGCATAAAAAATACTATAAAAATATAATTACTATAATAATTCTTACAAAATAAAGGCATGCTGTAAGAGCGTGAAAATTCAGGGTTATAAGGATTTGTATATACGTATTATAACAAAATAAAATAATTATTTATAATATTTAAAAATTTGTCGGAGTGATTAATCTCTACCACTTGGTTTCAATCAAAATATGCGAAAATCTGTCCGCGGATAACTAACTAACTAACCTAACCTAATCTATCAGTTTTCCAAATTTTCGCAGCGATTGGATGATTAGTTTTTGAATCCATAAATGTATACATATAAATACTAATTAAATAATTTATTTGTTCAAATAATAAAAATATAACTCAATATAAGAAACAAGATATTAAAACAAAATTATTAATGTTAGAATAAATTCAAATTATAAAATCTATGGTCGAATTTCTAGAGAATTTAGATCAAAACGGTCATACAGTGATTTTTAAGAGTATATATCCGCTACTGTAAAATAATATAATATAATTATTTTATATTTATATTTACCCAAGTTTCAGAAAAGCCAAACAGCGCATTCGAATATTATTTTCCCGCAAGGGAAAAAAATTAAAACAAAGTATAAGGACTTTGGGTGGATATCGTGGTTTTCCCTGCGTGAAACTCGGAATCAGAAAGGACACGCCGAACAGAACATGGAACATGCAATTATAATTTCAATTTGTGTTCAAGCTTCTCTGTATAGAAGATTTCCCAGAGAGAGAAAAACGAATAAGAAAATCTGCCATGACAAAGCGACTGAAGGCGGAGAATTGCAGTGATTTAGGAATTTTAGGAATTGTTTTTGTCCAGAAATGATAATAGAAAACTTATCAAAAGTCGATGAAGTAATTATTTAACACTTTATTTTTGTGTGTACGATACAAGCAACATATTAAAATAAATATAAACATTAAATTAGTTTGTTTGGGTATATAATTACATTTAACACTGATACAATGTGAACTCATTCCGCTCGATTAGATATGGGTCTTCTGCCTGTCATATAGATGTCAATGAATCTTGTTTACTTACGGCAAATAATACAAGTAAACAAAACAGCTATTCAAATTTACGAACCGAAAAGCGATTTGCATTAAACCGTTTGATACAATTACTCAAGACATCTAACCTCGCCTCTACCCAGCTTTCCATGTATATTTCGGGTTTGCGATAATCCGAATAAATATGATATTGCAGCGCGAGAAAAGCGAAAGATTCATTCAAATTAAATGCATAATGAATAATACATATTTTCCGGGAGATGCCTCCGGCTTTTCCGAGTATACTCGTGTAATGTGTTTGCTCATTTGAAAGTAATTCCGCCGTCTCGTACGAATTTCGTTTAATGCGAATCCGTATGGACTGCAAACTTGTACAATTTTGAAAATGTATATTGAGTGCACGCGTGTTAATGGAAATAGAAAGAAATGGAATTTTGAATATTTCGGTTTCTGCGAAACGGCGTTCCGAACATTTTTTGCGCGTCTTAGGTTTTATGGGTTTTTGTAATGTTTCAGTTCGCATGAGTACACATTTGCTTTTAGCTAGACATTATATGGTCTTAAAAGATATAAACGGAATTTTATGAGTTTTTCCTATATAAATATATTTTGAAGTAAAACTTCTTTAGGCGAACTTGCGTTACGCCCGAACGGTTCGTCATTGCTCTCGATGAAATCATTTCTATACGGGTCGAATGTGATTAGTCGTCGTGTCGAGTGAATAGAGATCTTTCGTTGTATGCATACAACAACGAGAAGATCGTAATGTCATTAGATTTTAAGGTTACATCGTAGTACAAATCTTGATTTAATAAAAAATATGCTTGAATCAGAAGAATAATTTACCATGTAAATAACAGTAATGAAAATAATAAAACATATGAAACATTTGTTCCGTGTAAGAAACGTAAGTTTATTGAAATAATTTCTATGTTATTCTTATAATAGTTATTCTTATATAATAGTAGTTTCTATAAATCTTTGAAATTATTAAAATGGAAAATTTATTCATAGGCAAGACAGATATTACAGCTGCTTAAAGAATGAGATTGTTTAGCCAGCGAAAAAGTAAAAAAAATACAAGCAGTCAATGAATATATGTTAATTTTAATTACATGAAGTTCTTCAAACACAATTACATGAGTGAAATCCACTGTGTGAACGAATATTATAGAATTTATCAATCATCAATTACTTCATTTCTCTAATAAAGGTTCAAGTTCTAAATGTTAATTACAATGACAAACCGATCATGTCATATTTGAAGTATGACTTTAATTACATTATTGTTTTTAAATATTATAAATATTTTCAATGCTATCAAATACATAATTTATAATTTATTATTATGAAATTATGTATACCAAATTTTGTTCTGGTGATTTTTCACTCAAAGATGAAAAACGCTTTGGTTGTCCAGTTAAATTGTCTATATTTATTATTACGATGTCTACCTTAAACAATTAACAAAATTAAACAATGCAGTTGAAAAAATGGCCAGAATTAGCAAATCAAACGGTGATTTATACCATTATAGACCTCACATATCTTTGGCAACCCGGAAAATATTATTGAAGCTTGATTGGAATGTCTTACTCACCACATAGTCCGGACCTTCATTTTGGAAAATAAATGGCAATTAATAGTATCATAGGCAGATTAATTTATTAATTCTAATTCAAAATTTTGGGCTAACAGTAGTGTTCTGGTTGTCCTCAGTTGCATAGAACGAGATTTTTGTCGTTCAAATAAAAAAAAGATTATGAATCTTTTGTAGTTGTAAATGAATCGTCAACACTTCATTACGTTCATATCTTAGGCTTGAACTGGTTTATGTTAATAAAATTCATTCCATTAAAACTACAAATACGTTTTAGCTCGCAAAGGTTGAATAAAGCAAAATACTGTGCGTTATTCAGCAAAAACACATATTTGTCGAGTACACACACACGCTCTATAAAATCCGAACGCATTAAAAATTAAACATTGCTGCAAATCAAAAGCGAGAGCCGCTCCGTACAATTATGCAAAACGAGCACAAATTAGTATATGCAAATGTTAATGAGCTGCCAGAACTGTGTGCCGAGCTTGCAAATTCTATACTACATTGTACACATATCAGGTTTTAATTTAATATCAATTTAAACATGAAAACAGCTTTTTAATATACTCGGTAATTAGTGAATAATTAAATGCAGAATTGGCATTTGATCATACACCCTGGATCATATAGATTAAATGTGAAATCATACAGAAACGTGATTGTGTTGGGTACATCGAATTGGGAGACTAATACCGATTTGTGAATTATAGGTTTGCTGCTAGAATTAGTTTTCATATTTAATTAATGAATCTAGGATTATAATAATAATAATGCAATATAATAATTTGGCATATTCGATCAACCGTTATGGAGTTGTGAATAACAATTTAATTTGTCCAAAATATTCAAATTGGATTAATTATCATAATATATATGTATTTAATCATAATGATGATCTGGGGAAATATTTATATAAAATTTTCAATGTTAAAATTTATGTTAAGTATTCATACAAATCTCTATCAATATTATAGCATTGTGGTGTTAACAACAAACTGGTGCATGATTTAATAATATTATTTAAAAATGAATAGTATGTTATATTTGTGATGCTTATAAAATCTTATGTCATTTGAAAGAAAATAGCTCAGTCAGTATCGTGCCCGAATCACACGCCACCGATCCTCAAATGGCAATGACAAAGAATTGAGTTAAAATTAAATATAATTGTAGTTTTCGATTTGAAATTGCTTAGATAAAGGAGAATTAGATAAGTAGAATTTAATAATAGTTAATTTGAAATGAAATAGAGTTTAAATTGTTGAGATAAATTTAAATAAAATTAGAATTAAAAAGAAAAGAAAGAGCGGATTTAGAGAGAATCGGATCTAGAAGAAAAGATGCAAATCAGTTGCAAAGAGCAAATTATTGGATAGAAAAAGATATAAATAAAAAGCTAGTATAGAACATATATAAAATAGTAGAACATATATAACAAATTTTAACATTTATAAAAAATGTATAAAATATAAAAATGAAATGATGTATGTGACTAAATGATCTAAGTAATCGAAGCCAATATTCGAAAATAAACATGTTTTTTAAAAAAATTTCAAAGTGAACATATTGATGAATTGCTTTAATAAAAGCATTATATGCAGCATCAAAAAAACTGTAATAAATATTGAGATTTTTCTAAATCATTATCTGTGATGATTTCATGCCTGTTCATTTAAATTATATAAAATGCAGCTATTCCCCCATGCTCAAAATATGTTGAATAATTAATTTGAAAATATTATTTTGATATGCGATAATGAACGAATATTTCTAAATTTAATTTATAGATATTTAACCGCAAATAAATATATCATGAAATGACTGCTTAATACAGGTCCATAGCAATGCCATTCGTTTGCATTATAAATATGTGGACTAATTAAAATATGCACATATCGGAATAACATTAACTGTATAATGCAATGTTTCAATTAAATATCTATTATAAATGAAACAACCAATTCCCATAAGAGGTTCTGTTAAAATAATTAGAGCCGCAAAACCGATTACATGATATTTGTAATGAAAAGGTTATCTACGTTAATGGAATCATTGGTGTTGTCAATTAAATATTGATAGGAAATAATTGAAACAGGAGAACTATAAATCAACTCAAAATTTTTATTTTATGTAAAGCTACATCTACTTTTTTAAATTTACGATGTATGGATTTAGTAAAACCAACCAATCTACATAAATATTTTCGCAATAAGTAAGCAAAGCTATATATTATAAACAGCAACAGTCTAAGTCTGTGAAAATTTGAAAGTAGTTACTTACTTTATCGCCCCTGGCATCTTTATATATCACCCATCTATCGAGGGCTGCTCTCCAATATTCAACAAGAAATGCCTCGGCATATTCTTGGCCTTGGCCATTTCCAAATCGGCCCTGGGTTTCTGTCCACGTTATGAGATGGTCCCTTACCAGGTCCACCTCCAGGTATTCGTGGACTTCGCCACTGATCTGCGCTTTGGGACACCATGCTCCACCGTTCTTCTCTTGGCGAATTCTAGAAAAAATGAAATATTGTAATATATTATTTAGTAATGTAAATTAAATAATGAATGTGCTTCAGCTAGAAAATGTGTATCACCAAAATAGTTTTTACGTATAGGTATATTCTGAACTTTTTTAGAGGATACCTACTACTTCTTGCAACTTTTTTCGAGAGCATCATAGAAGCGGTTATTTCTAAAATTTATCAATGAGTAATATTGATATCATATACTAATAATTAAAATACAATAAAAACCTACTAGACTGTAAATCATGATTGATATACTTAAACATGTACGTTCTCGTTTTTCTGAAACGCTTTCCGATCTAATTAAGTATTTCAATAAAAATTGACGATAAACTTCAATATTTCAATATATTATAACTTTTATTATAAAAATTGCAAAATCAGCTCCTTCAGAATTCCATTACAAAATATCTCAAGAAACATACTTTAAATTAAATTCTATAAAGTTCTTTTATAAAAGTTAGTATTGAATAAAATTGTATCATTCAAGTTTATTATTTGTGCTCGTTTATCGCGCATTGTGAAAATTTATAACAGCATCAACTAGATAAGACATAACTTAAACTTTAATGTTATTAGCGATCAACAAATAAAGTTTGAAAGGAACAAAACCAAGAGTAAAAATCAATTGTGAAACACCAGGGAAAACTGGAACAGTTTTATTATTGTGCGACCGCAGTTAGTTTGCGCGATTTTGAATCTTTTGTGAGCATCTGTGTGTAGCATAAAGTTGTACTAACTGATACTCGAAGTTGCTTCAGTGATGTTATTGAAACGCAAGTTTCTTAGCAAAAGGAGATTATGAATATGAATTATAATAATAGAAATGTTACAACAATATGTCTGATAAGTTTCCTGTTTGTGTTGTTATTTCACTATATACCGGGAACAGAAATTCGTAATTAGAGAGAGATTCTTCGGTGCGTGATTATGGAAATTTTATCAAACTACGGTGTATGCAAAATATAATTAAATACGCCCCGCAGTGGTTTAAGTAGTTTTAACGAGGCATTGTCTAAGCGGTTCAGAAATCGCTTTACCTGCATTTTATTGGAAGCGCTCCTGACGTGCATCTAGCCCGTAATACGCTTTATGAAGAAACATTAAAGAAAATGTATATCTTATGTATATAAATACGAAGATAAAGTTTATATACTAATATAAAGTTATCTTTAAGATAAATATAAAATCGTTATACATTTATAACATCATCAACTTCAATTGAAGGCGACAAGGCACTCGTTTTTCAGAAGCGAGTGAATCCTAATATAGGATGTAGACAAAAAACAGTAAAATATTACTTAATACATATTTATTTACTTATAAATCCGTGGATATCTTTGAATATTTCATAAACATAAAACGGCCAAAACTTTGTTTAAAAATCCGTGGATAGAATATCTTTGAATATTTCATAAAATCTAGTGGAGTGCATGGATCGTGCCTTAAAGCAAATTGCTGGAACTTCCCGCACCGTAATTAAAAATTCGAGAGATGAAAATAATCAATAATTTTTTTAAATAATTTTAAATAGATTATTTATTAACTTCCCGTCGGGCAAATTATAGTAATCGCAAAAATCGAAAATGAAAATTTATAATTATCTTTACGTTTCAAAGGTTTCTGAGTATTTTGGCATATCTTAGATAAAATAGATGTATGTGCGTGTGCGTGTGTGTGTGCGGATACAAATTTTCGTCGACGATTTCGGGAACACCGATCAACCGATTTGAATAATTCAAAAAACATTCGATTCGTATGATGAGGAGACGTCTCCTCAGGTCTAGCCATTCCGAAGATACGAGGCAAAAAGTGGCAAAAATAGTAACTCAGTTTTTAAGAGAATAATTCAAAAAACATGTTACTTGTATTGACATGATGCAGAATTGATCAAATTTTCATGAAGTCAGGTCTAGCGGTTTCGGAGATCTAATGAAAAAAGTAAAAAAAATGCCATTTGGCGGTCAAAAATAATCATTAGACATATGCACATCAAATTATCAGATATTTTATAAATATTTTAACAATAAGTATAAATTTTGTTCACATTCCTATGGGTTCCGTACCAATGTTTATTCGTTAGACGGCGACCCGGCGCTTTGACATTCATCTCTATGAAGTTAAAGCGGTACGATTGCTTAAAAAAAAAAGTTCAGGATTTCCAAAATATGTCAAAATAAAGAAGACATTTTTTTCAATAAATTTTTTTTTTCAAAATAAAGTAATTTTTTATCAAATTTATAGTTTCTCAAAAATCTATTTTGTTTAAAGTAAATTTTTTTCAAAAATGTTAATCGTTTTTAAAAAGACAATAATTTTTGGTACGGGAAGTTCCAGCCATTTGCCTTAAGGCACGATGCTATGCGCCTCACTAGTTTTAAATAATTTTAAATAGATTATTTATTATAAATACATACTGTAAATTTATAAGTGCTTATTGGGCGACGAGCGTATTCTACAAACAACTTGTGTGTACGTTTACAAGAAATTTCTTAAATTTTTTTTAGTTTGATTTTTTTGATAATTTGGAAAATTTTTAAAATATCCGATATTTTTTTTGAAAATTTCGAAATATTCTCAAATTTTTGTGAGAAATCGTTTTTTTTTTAATTATGATATTTTTCGAATTTTGCGAAATTCAGATTTAAATCTCTCTTTTCTACAAAATAAATATGAGATTCAATTAACCCCAGAATGTGCAAAATTAACAATTTCCCAATTTCCCAAGTATATCGTACTCGATTGCGACAACATGGCGCGAAGTAAGTTCAGGTGTAGAGTGGGTCAGTACGTAGTTAGAGAGTGCATTATCTGATTAGAGGAAACAATAGATGAGAGTTAGTAGTACACAACGTGTGCACTGGAAAACTAGATCCTCAAACCAATCTCAGGAAGTGGCCGGAATCCCCGGGAAAAGCGCCCCATCAAACCCTGCGATAAATGGGCAACACGTAGGATTTAAATTAGAAAAATCGGCAGATTGCCAGAGTAGAATCTAGAGCTGGCTGATGAATTAGTTATGTTCAACATATTATCTAAACCGGTTATTTCCAACCTTTTGGTAGCTACACCTCACTTATAAAAACGCTATACCCCCCTTATTTATGGTGATATCAACTTGTGATCGATAAAAATTGACATAGAATTTTGGAAGCCAATGGTTTGTATGAAGAAAAATGATAAATCTCGATAAGTTATTCTGACTGACTCCTTTTATCTCAATTTGTGCATTACTCGTGTACAAATAAATGTACATCACTAGTATATTATTCATTACAATTTTAGTCATGGAAATTTTATATTTTATTATTTTTTAGGATTGGTCGATTTGGATATAACACTTTCGCTAATGTACTTTGTTATGTCTCGTATATATTTTTATAGCCTTCTGCTTTAAAATGTTGTTTCTCATAATTTAAGTCACATTTAATGGACTGAGATGCTCCCGAGCGTAATTTGCATTATGCTACCCGGATTTTATGAATATCCTCATTTAGATTACCATGAATTGTGAATTTATATTTTCAACGCTAGCATGATGCATAAATTTTAGAAGTATATAATGAATATATACAAATATGACTCGTAACAAATGGAGAGTAAATCAAAAAACAAAATTAAGTGCCTTATATTGTATTTTCATAAAGCTTAAGGGAATATTAAATGCATACTTTTGAATATACTCATTCCATAAAGAATATTATAATATATATATATATATATATATATATATATATAATCCCATAATTATCAATTATCAAAAAGTTCTATTTATCTATAATCGTCAAATTCCCATTTGAATTTTAATTCCATATGATGATATTTAATTGGCACGATTTATTTACATGTGATTTTGTGATTACTTTGATTGATGTTCCAAATACAACATGGCATATTATGTAAATATGTCGTATTATTCAATCAATTTAACATTATCATAAATTTTGTCATTCTGAACGAGCATGCAAATTCTACTCTATGATTGTGCAAAGTAATCATTTAATATTATTGGTATAAATTTGGGAATTATCGATTATAATATTATGCTTTTCTGCAATGATAATAACCTTGTTTGGTTTGCTTTGGAAAATGAATGGACAGACAAAGATTGTATTATTTAATACAATCTAAAAATATAACTGAATGAATTAAAAATCGCAAAATAACAAAAATTAAATATAACAAAAATGTATTCAAATTGTGTTTCCATTAGGTAAATAATAAATCATTTATTTTATCGATAAATATAGAGATACCTAACTTATATTTATTCATTGCTCTATTTATTTCACAAAATAGCCATAAAATGCAGGTCAAAAATAGTAATAGTATGACTAGATTAAAACAGATTTTGTGCCAATTTGCTGTAGTGTCCCAATAATCCTATCGAACAAAATCCAATTAATTTCCATTTGAAATATTAACGTGAACTGTTTTTGCATGTCAAATCGTGATGGAACTAGTAATCAATTTACAAATTTGTAATATGAAATTAATGTTATGAAACATTTTGCTTTGTGAGCAATAAAATCAAATATACGTTTATAACTATAATGCATTACTGTGGTAATAAATCGTTTAAAATTTTATGTATGATATAAAATCATTACGAAGCGGTATTGTTTAAAATCAAAAACATATGTTTGAAAACAATCACCAAAATTGTCTATTAAATAAGTAATTATTTTAATAAAAACGATAAAAGCGGGAATATGTAAAAATCGTCTACCCATCTGCTCCCAATTGAGCATTTTACTTCCTTAAAATAACTTATTGTATTTATTAAGGTAACCTCTTCTTGATTTATTTAAAAAAAAAAATACAGGATAAAGTGAGGTGGGGTACAAAAATCCAAACTGACCTTCCGTAATTTTACTGTCTGAACTAAATAAACCACACCACGACATATGTGTTGCTGAACTATGATCAGTAAAATTCCCAGTTAACCCCTCTTGTGCTTAGAAATAAGTTTTTCAGCAATTTTC